TGTGTCTGGTGTGCGGGGTGGGGGGCAGAGTGGGTGCCTGTGCAGGGTGCTGGTGTGTGTGGATGGGTGTGCAAGGGGTTAAGGGGGGAGGGGTTGTGGGTCTGGGACAGCGTGAAGGGCTGCAGGGTGAGGCAGGCATGTGTGCTGGGAGAGCACGTGTGTGTTGTGTGTGCATGTCCTGGGACTGCACATGTGCTGCAATTGCACGTGTGTGCTGCACTCGCACGCATGTTCTGCAGTTGCACACATGAGCTGGGACTGCATGTGTGCTGCAATTGCACGTGTGTGCTGCAAGGGCAGGTATATTCTGTAGTTGCACGTGTGCTGCAATTGCACCTACGTTCTGCGATTGCACGTGTGTGCTGTGATTGCACATGTGCTGTGATGACACGTGTGCTGGGAGCACATGTATGTGCTGCAATTACACCCGCGCGTGCAGTGACCGTGTGCTGCCACTGCACCTCCATGCTCTGCTTGCAGGCACGTGGTGCTGTGGTTGCACGTTGGTGCTGTGATGGGCTGCCTGCGCTGTGAGCACACACATGTGTGTGCAACACGCGTGGTGCCACGGCCGCATGTACCAGCACGTACACGTGTGCGCTGTGCTGGTGTGTGCACAGACTGGGACTGCGTGTGTGCTAACTGCACCTTTCCCCAGTTGCACGTGTGTGCTGTGGGGGCAGGGACACGTGTGTGCCATGACCCATGCACACTGTGGCTGCACGTGTCCGTGCGTGGGTTTGCCAGGCAAGGACATGCGTGTGCAAGCAGGGCCAAAGCAACCCTGTGTGTGGCAATGGGCCGTCGTGTGCACACAAGCACGGGAGTCTGCGCAAGCAGGATGTGCTTCTCCTGTGTAGGTGGCAGCTGGATGTTCCAGAGGAATGCTCAATGTTGGGTTTCAAAATAAATAAATAAGTATCGGGATTAAAAATGCAAATCATGACCTTCTTCAGTAAACACATTCCCTAAAGGAAAACACACTGATTTTTGGGGCTGGATTAATCACTGTATTTATTCTGATCATTCCCAAATGCTCTGTGCTGGGAATTTCTTACTCAAAACCAAAACCTTTAGGCTATTGTTGTATTTTGAGACTCAAAAATCAACTAATACGGGACTTTTCCCATAACTGAGCCGATGGGGTTTTTCAATGAACTGAAACTTCGAATCAAGCAGCAAGTTTTGCAGCTGTAATGGAAATAATCTCATTCCTGCCAGCCAGTCTGGGAGGAAATAATGCTCAGCCACAGGTTTCTTAGCAAAGAGCTTTCTCCTTTCCATCACTTCTCCATATTTGCTTCTTTGAATGCCCCTATACTCAGAAAAAAACTTGCTGGGAAGCAACTTGATGGGATCCCAGGGAAAACCTGGGATCTTCTGTCTGAAGGAAGATATTTTTCCCCTCCATGTCTGCATTTTGCCCTGACCCAATGTGGTTTCTCTTTGTGTCTCTCTCAAAAATACCTGTGCAAATGTTTGCACCCCTCTTTGTGTCACGACCCGTTTGAGAAGCTTTTCATTCGTAAGAAGATAAGGAAGGTGAAGTGACTCATGGGGAAAGAAATCAGAATTTAAAGAAAATCACCCAAAAATCCACCTTGTGATAATATATAGCTCTGAATTTGTTAGGAAAGGTAAGGAGACCATAACTTGTGCAGACAGTATTCTCAACTATGAGCAAAAACCTAATCTGGAAGAAAATCCAGGCAGAACCTGGGAAGTGATGCTGGTGTGGGTGTGTGTGGCAAAGAGAGGGCAGCCCTTGAGAAAGGCAAACCTGGATGTCTCAGGACTGTTGGCTGTGAACGTTCCCAGGCAGGGGCCGGTGGAAAACAGCACAGAGGGGTTTCCAAGCCCCAGGATCAATTGCCCCGTGTGTGCCTGGGCTTTGTAGCTCTAAGTGCCTCTGTAGGGAACAAAGAAAGTGAGTAAAAATTGAATTATCCACTTAAGGTTGTGTCAGCTTTCCATCATAAATCTTTTCTTTTTCCTTTTCTTTCTTTTTTTCCCCCCCTTCCAGAGGTTTATTACTCATCTGTAAAAATTCCTCCCAACCTTAGCTTTGCATACACAATATGGTTTCAACGCGGGAAGAAGCTTCATAATGTGTAATTAATAAGCTAAAAGTCACCGTTTTAGGCCAAAAGAACTATGATTTCTCACAGTTACCCCAGCGGGATGAAGTCAGGGGCTGGTGGGAGCTCTGGAAACCGGGTGCTGGGAAGAGGCAGCTTCCAGCAGGTCCCAGTTTGGGTGGCTCCCACCGGGGCTGGGTGGCAGGAGGATGAGCCCCAGCACCTGCCGCAGCACCGGGGCCTCTGGGGCTCGGCCATGGGGGTGCGGGACTGGGTGTAGGATTGGGTGCAGGATTGGGTGTGGGATTGGGTGTGGGATTGGGTGCAGGATTGGGTGCGGGATTGGGTGTGGGACTGGGTGTGGGATTGGGTGCGGGACTGGGTGTGGGACTGGGTGCAGGATTGGTTGTGGGACTGGGTGTGGGATTGGGTGCGGGATTGGGTGTGGGATTGGGTGTGGGATTGGGTGCGGGATTGGGTGTGGGATTGGGTGTGGGATTGGGTGCGGGATTGGGTGTGGGATTGGGTGTGGGATTGGGTGCAGGATTGGGTGTGGGATTGGGTGTGGGATTGGGTGCAGGATTGGGTGTGGGATTGGGTGTGGGATTGGGTGCAGGATTGGGTGTGGGATTGGGTGTGGGATTGGGTGCAGGATTGGGTGTGGGATTGGGTGTGGGATTGGGTGCGGGATTGTGTGCGGGATTGGGTGCGGGACTGGGTGCAGGACTCCCCCTTCCTGCCCCGGGCACTGCGGGCGCCCTGCTCAGATCAACAGGCTACAAGTGAACCAGCATCTTTACACCTTCACCACCTGTGCTTTCATGAGCCTTCATTTTAAAACGGGTTCTTTCCTCCTCTTACTTCTCCCTTTTTTCCCCTCAGATTTTCCTTGGCCATTCCCCCTTTTCCTCTCTCTTCCTGCCCTCTGCCCTGTGCCCCCTCCTCACCTTCCCCTTCCCTCCCCTTTCTCTCCATTTCCAACCGATTTTCACCCATTTTCCTCTTTCACTCCGTATTTTCACTCCCATTCCCACACTTTCCCACCCCAGAGAGGAACCACTTGGGGGTGGGGGGCGAGGGGAAACCTCCCCCCTGGCTGCGGCGGGAGCCCCAGAGGGATGGGGGGGAAGGGGTGTCGGTGCAGAGACAGGGAGGAGGGTCTGCGGAGGGTCCCGCCCGGGCGCCAAGCGCTGCCCCCGACCCTCCGCATTAACCCC